TCAGTAGAATTCTTTGTTTTATTGTAAATGTAGTAAATAGAAACAAATAGCAATTAACATTTATGTAATCCAATAATTGAGATAGTCATTCCACATCCCCGCTATGCGTAAAATATCTCTCTGCATGTTCATGAAGCATCTTGAACCTGATTCTGCGTTAGCATTATCTCTGACATTATTGGTCTACACGTCAGAGGTTTCTATGAAATCCGGATTAGTAAGAGAATTCATAGAACTGTTATTTAAATAACCTACTTGATTAGTTTTCACCTATTCGATGTATCTGTTGTCAACAGAATCATCTTTCAAACCCAGAATCTCAGCAATTCAGTTAACAATTTTCTGTAGTATGATTCTCACTCACGGCAGATAATCAACTTTTCAATAACCGTGTGCATCTGATGAAAGCATAGTCATCAAATTCGTATAAAAATCTTGAACTTTAACAGTTTAGCTAAAGGTTCATTAGTAGTATGTTTTGCACTCCGAAACTTAATCAGGATATTATCAAAACACTTTCCCAAGTTTTCTAAATTGCTTAGATTCACTGATGCCACAGCGTACAATGTTTTCTGTCAACCTGTTTGATTGAGAATGACGTGACAGAACCAATATCTGTCAGCCAGTTACTGAAACTCTTCTCACTGAAATGAATTTCATTATCAGTGACTAAGACATTAGGTATTCCCTTGCAACTAAAAATCTTCCTCACTGCTCTGTCTAAGAACTTCTCATTTAAAGTATTCGAAAGTACTTATTCTGACCATTAAGAATAAGAGTCTACTATATTTGAAATAGAATATGCCTGTTAGAAGTGACCACTATTGTCTCAATAGACACAAACTATGATTTCAATAATGATTTTCCATAGGATACTTTATACAGACAATTAAAACAACTGTTTGACGTTTTCATAATAAAAGTATCTATGGTGAGAACAGACTCATCCATTGGTGATGAAGATCTCAGAATAGCTTGATTATTCAGAAACTTCAGATTGTTGCATAAAACGTTTTCATGACCTTGTTCATACTTAGATTACCGACCAGAAACTGTGTTGGAAAGTAAAGACTGTAATCGCCTGAAATTGAGAATGAGTGTAGAACAGAACTGCGATGTGTCACTCTACGGTCTCAAAGAAGAAACATTTATCGGTGAATATGATTGAATCAATCCAGTAAGATAACTTAAATCAGGCTAAAGACCGCTGGAATCTATATAATCTCTATAATCGATAAATTTACTGCAGTTAGCAGTTACGGTATTATCACGAATCCAACCATTCCACCAAAAAGACAGGAGGAGAAGATTTTTAACCAGCGGAATTACGTGTAATTTTGTATATGCGATGAATATAAACAAATAGCGATGAACATTTATATAACCCAGTGACTGAAACAGTCATTCACCACACCCTATTTGGTATGTTTTGTGCTTGTTGGCATTCATTAACAATTTCAATGTGGAGTTATAGACATGCTGAGAACCAATGTAAACAGTTATCTAATGCTGTCTAGTCCTCATTGGTTTCCTGTATAACTTCAGTTCGTAATGAAAACTACCATTTTTAATTCTTTCATGATATCATTGATATAACTTCAAAAACGATGCTAAAATATGAATGTTAAACTATGGTCTGCATAGATTGAACGCGATGAGGAAGCGGTATATAATAAATTGGGTGACGTTTTTTAATCGACAAACACCTTTATTTCAGTCAGAATTTATAAAAATGGTGTTTTTTGATAAATATAGTAGTAATGCATTTTTGAGATAAATGGGGTTTTTTAATTTAGAAATAGCATTCATCATGGACTGACATCAGTTGGGGAAACATTGGAAATCTGGGAGCACTGGACAGCTATCTCGTCCTGGTATGGGATTCCTCAGCAGTGTGCACCCACGACCCGGCTAGGGATCGAACTCAGGACCTTCAGGTTTCACGTCGAACGCGTTAACCATTCAACCACTGGGTCGGGTTTCAGTGGTTCACAATTTCCAACTTCTGTCAATTCAAGACGTAGAGTGACATTGCTCCCAGATTTTCAATGGTTCCCTAAATGATGTAATCCACTAAATAATACTTTATAAGTCACATGAAAAAATCCATTATCGATGAGGCAGATATGGTTGTACACTATCTAAGTAAAAGGGATAGTAAATGAAATCTATTAGCCAAGAGAGTTTTGTAACGCTCTGAGTACAGTATTTAAATGTTTATCTGCAATTCGTTTGATCTAATCCGGTTGCACTCACATATTCTTTAGAACTGACTTTAAATCTAAATGACTAAACACACCTTCCAAGGCAGTGGAATCAGTGAAGTTCGTAGGTTTGAAAAAATAACTTTCAAACATGCCATGACCTATATTCTACTCATGAAGGTAAGACTTATCATTAACCATGATACGGAATACGAAAATGCAGTTAGTCGCTTAGTTTTCTTTTACTAACTTCTAATAATAACTGATAGCTCACCGTTAATTCATATACATTTGGTGTTAATGAATTCTTTTATGCCTCATTAGGTTACTATGAAATAATTGATATTGTGTGAAGTTTCCTAAGCTTTGTATACCGTTTCTGTATGAAATGAACGGTAATCTGCATGTGTTTGCCTAAATGACTTGTAAGTAACAGGAATTGTCTAACATTGATTTCATTCCTTCTTCACATGTTATAGTATATGTTATTTCTTCTTCGAGATCTGAAAGCAAATCTGTCGGTAAATGTGAAATATTTAGCTTATCACAACCATTTATTTTCTATCTGTGAGAATTCGGATAAAAACGATGTAGGAACATTTTTAATGGTAATATTAAATAGCAACAAGACAAAGTATCTGACATTTTTCTGTTTCTCTCTATATTATTACTGAAACTATGGCATTTTTTGAAATGATAAACTTATCTGATAGAAACTTTTCCACTTATGCACTGTAAATGTTCCGAGAATGATTTCTAGAGAAAACGAAAAACATTACACTAGTCATAATCTGAATTCATTTCAAGGTGTGAATTATGTATTTATGTAACGGTAGAATGCTTGAAATTTAAAGAAAACTTGGTTTTATTAAGCCACGAACCAGTGATCTCTGAGTTACTGACCCACTCGTTAATGTACAAACTGTTTACTTTTTAACTTCACTTCAGTTACAGAAAGCCTTATCGGTTGAGACATGACTGTCCGTTTATTATAATCGCACTAAGAACAGTTTGCCAAAACAAGATCATTTCAGATAGATTGTAGAGCACCGGACCAATAACCCGTTGGTCCAAGTCCCTTCGTGTTCTAAATTTTAATTTTACCTTTCCTTTTACCCAGTATCATTTCAGATAGTCTAACCAACTGCATATCTTTCTGTAGACTAAAATCAAAATATTGAGGAAATTAAGATGAAACAGCCTGTTTTAGTGAATCGTATAAAAATTGTTGCTGTTATTTTATCCCACTTTGTATTCACCTCCATCTTTATTTTTTACGTTTTTTACCAGAATAAATAGGTTGTTCATATACACAACAATCACCGTTGGTAACATAACTTTCCTTCGATTATAGTTATGTGACAAACTTGTTCAGTTGCCATATTCATTTATCATTTAGTCTCTTTCAACGTATCTAGAAGAAATGTTTTAAAGTTTCCAAAAGCCAAACATGACTTAACTAGTTGGTTGTAGAATTCCATCTTTGATTCTAAGAATCAGTGTTTTTAGAACTATTTTATTCCAAATAGTTTAGTTTCGCAGATAATACATCCGCCTAGAGGAGTGAGTCACTACCTACGGATTCATCGAACATGAGTTCATTTTGGTTTCGAAATGAGCAGCAGCGGATTCAACTAATCCTGAATTTACCACTAATTGCTGCTTTATACCACACCAATCGTATCACTAAACTCATATACGAATTTCTAGCCAGGAAACTGTTTTTAAACTGGTCAGTACTATGTAGTTCATCAATTTAGTATCGCGGTTAATTTTAATTACGTTCTAGTCCTATTTATGTTACTAGTTTGTTAGATTTTTTAATTTTTGCCTTAATATTGTAGTTAATCATACTGTTATTACATCAGAGATACGTCTATTGTTTGGAGTTGTTTCTTTTCATTTCACTGCACTGGCAAACTCGAAGTTTTTCTGAATAGTGCAGCCGGAAATGAAACAGTTTTGCTCTTAAATGCATAAAATATTTGATTAGATATGGTTACACATGAAATCCTCTCACTGTGATATAATGGCTATCTAAACCCCGTTTCTTCAACTTCCAAATAACGGATTTCAGAATTCAGTGTGCGAAAATGTAGTTGATGTCAATAAAAATAAGCGTTGTGAACAGTTGATATTTTATCTTCCATGGCTTCTCATCAGTACATAAATATGATGAATGATCCTTATTCAATTTCAGTAACATCGACTTTTCTCTTCCTTTAAGATTCAGTCGATTACCTTGTATACAGTCTTACTGATAATTCTCATCAAAAGAAACTTATGGTGAGATATGCTGTTTACAGAGAATCTTAGCTCTTAAAGAACTAGAACCCATAGTTCCATATTAGATTTATTACACACAGTGATCTAGTATTATTTAATTGATGACACTTCGAGCATTAATTATTGCTCATAATCATATCAATGTGATCACACAACTTTCGACATTTGATTTTTATAGTTTTAAATCTAATATAGAATTAAATTCTACCACAGTGCCCAAGTTTCACACCTGTATTAACAGACCCCATTGTATTAAATCTACTAGATGGGTACTCTGCCAACTGAACTCTGAAGTCTGAAAGGCAATGAAAGTTTAACCACACTTCATCACTAATTGTATCATGACTGTTCTAAAATAAAGTTGACTGCTCATAGGTAAAATTGTCGAGCTTTGAAATCTGCATCCAAATTTATATACGCGTCCAGATACACTATCGCCTATTTATAATTCCCGACACTGCTGATCCACCTGCGTCAGACAGTGTAAATATCAGGAGTTAACGCGAAGTATATATCAGGATGTTGTACTGGTCAACGAGCTAGCAAAAGTCTTCTTCAGTACAAATAAACAAAAAATGTTTAGTGAGTTGTTACATATATCAACACAATACGGTGAAATAAATGTTATAAAATCATCCCATTCAAATGTCATCTCGATTGCAGTTATGGAAGAATACGGGAAATAAAATACAAAGGAATGGAATGTGTAGCTTTAACAATAACACGAACAGATCATATATCAACAGCTTACAATCGGTTCAGTCTTGTTAACCAACAACATGAGTTCCAAACTTAAAGAAATGATGTATTCGATAACATCCTAAGGTGAAAGACAGTGATTTTAGAATTCTAGCCCACTATTAAGTCTGAAGCAATTAAAATTTTAGTCAGATAGACTCCAGCTATTAAAATAGACATATCGTCTACTTTTCGAACACTTACTGATGGTTATTTACCTACTAGTTTGGCTTCTATTTCTAAATCTAGGTGACTTCAAAGTTCCCACTAACATCATCAGGAGAAGCATTTAAGATGCAGAAGAAAATATCTACTTTTTGGTTATCAAACTTCTTTTCTTCTTTTGGTTAACAAAGTCACTCAGAAATTTAGTGACAAGAATTAGAAGAAAAATCTGCATGATGAAAAGATCAGTGTTAGGCATAACAATTTACGATGGCTAGACAACAAGAAACACTTCTAGCTTTCTCTAATATAGTAAACATACCAATAAAAATTGTTATTTTAAATACAGACGGATAATTATCCATTATGTAACAGATCACTTGTTCACACTCAAGAAAAATCATCATCACAGTTTTTAAAATAAGAATGACGACGTCAGTACATAAGCAAAGTAGAGCACCAGGGAGTTTTATAAGTGTATCTCACTTTACAGTGCTGAAACACGATTGAAGAAGTAGGGTTACACTCTGTTTAAATGATTGAGACGGGAAACGTAGTCCACTGTTACTCAACCCAGTTGCTTAGTGTCAATATGTTCACTAAAAGAACTAAAAATCCCAACTTAAGTCTCAGATGATAATAATAGTACACACCACTGATTAGTAATTAATAAGGTGTAAAAGAAATGTCATGTGCGCCTTGGTTTTTAGTGATATTGCCACTTAGGTGATTTTGATTTTTCTGGCATTATAATATGTTTAAATTTTTAACGTGAATTCAGTTGAAATTCTGTTGAGTTGAGATTCTTTTCCAAGTCAGTTACACTGTCACTATCTTGCAACAAATTTTATCACTGGATATAGGTTATATTCATATAACTTTCAGTGTGTGAGATAAAATATTTCTAGCGTTTCATGCAAAGCTTTCTCAGAGAAATAATCAAGATATCAAGCATGCAAGAATGAAGTCATAATAAATGTACTTAATCTCCTCTGAACTGGTTTGTAAGTTCATAATTCTGGAAATTAGATTACCAGTCAATAAGTGTGAAATCATGTGTATTTTTTATGTGATATGTGTTATTGGATTGTTATTGCTATCCTCCTTCATTGTGAGAGAAAAGTTCACAGTTGACATCGTATCTATTCATTACCTAATTTTATGTGTATATGCTGTGGATAAATACAATGTTCTATTGTATTCTCAGAATAAAGTGTAAATGCATAGTAGTAATAATGGTGATGATAATGGTAATAAACTGAACTTATCCGGATTCCGTGCTGTTATTGTTGCAGTGGTAAGGTGTGACTGGTGATGAAATTTAATGCAAGAGTCGTTCTTTGTACCTATCAGTTTGTAGGTGGTAATAGGTAAATAAATGAACTTCATTTCATCCTTTTTAACTATTTAGCTTTGCCCATATATGCATGACTTTGTAACGACCAGTTGTTGATAAGTTTACGTCTAGCCTGTAGATAGGTACGTTGTTGCAGGGGGTGCGCAGAGCTGTGTGAGTTTGGTGATGGCCACGAGAATCTGGAAAAGAGAAAAGGAAGAGAAGAAAGGTGAGCCAACGACGCAGCAAGTACATAGGATGTACTTACACTTCATACAAAAAGATAAGTGAAAAACGGTAGAGCTGGAGGACGAAGAGGTGAGGCAGTCTAGAAATCGAAACTGTAAGGTGAATGAGTAAGATTTCGAATGCGCTGCAACTTTGACACACAATCTTTGTCCCATCGAAAGCAATTTTGTTTCCTGCTTATATCGAATGAAATTCAGTCACCAATTTGTTTCCGGCTGCTTAATATCTCCTGAGGTTTTCAGGACATTTTTTAGACAGTCTATGCTATCTTGTCGTAACAGTTAGTTATCTGTTTGGATGTCTTCTCTATGTAAACTTGATGTTAGATTTTCTGTCAGTGTCATATATTTGTAATAATATTCACTAAAATCTTGACCATGCTTCAAGTAAATTTTTGATGACTGTTTTACCTTTAAAATGCACCAGTTTTTTGAATCTAAATATTCAGCCGAAGGGGAATGGTAATACAAAGTTTAAAAGTTTTTTATCGCGCTTTAAGCATTTCAGTTGTTCAGAGGAATAAGTACAAGAAGGCGGATTTTCATGTAGACGTTTGACAAATACTTTAAATTCCAAGTTTGTAATTTCATTGAAGATTCAATAAGACATTTATTTGAACTGAACCAATCAGCTTTAAATAGCTGACAATTTGTAAGCTGATGCATTCACAACTATCAGATAATGAACTAGTCAATAAGTTTTTGAACAGGATAAAGAGAGAAACTTCTGGGAAACAAATATTTGAAGTGTTTTTCCGATTTATTTCTCACTATATCATTGATTGCGATGGTTATGGAGATAATTTAATAATAGAACACATTATAGTGACAGTTGAATAAAACAAAGTATGTAATAAATAATGAAGATATCGGATTCATCCTACTATGTCATTCTTTTCTAGGATTGTAAATGCAGTAAACATTTGGTTGGATGATAAATGAAGCTATGCTCACAAATATGGTTATATAAATATTTTTCTAAGAATGAATACATAAAAGCATATAGTTTATGGCAACCGGTAGGTGAATAATTCAGAACAAATATTCTGAATAAAACAGATATGGTTCATAGTATTCATTAATGATGAATCATGCACTGTACAAGCATTCACTATTTATCTAGAAAGGATTAGGCATGAATAAATCAGATATTCAAAACAACTTGCCTTCTTAATTAAATCGGCTTCAAAAAAAATTAGTTGATGACACAAACGATATTGGAATGTTGTATATGTGAATGAACACTACAGTTGAATGAAAAAAAGGTTATCAGTATCACTCGACCTCAAGAACTGGTGAAACAAGGGACTTATATGAAAATTTCTTTTTAAAAAGAAATAGGCTTTTACTTGTGAGCGAAATATATAGCGAAGATAACTCAACTGCGAACTACATAACAAGAAGTAAATAATTAACCGAGTATGATACAAAGATCACCAAGGTTGCAGTTTTTTCGCCATGACAGTTTACAAAAAAGCAAAACAATGGGTTAAAACAGAATAAATTCCATTTGTATTCCATGTGCACTTATAAGGGTGAATCACAACCAAACCTAAAGAACTAGATCTATATACTACAATAGTAAAAAGCAAAAATCTGAACGAAGAATGTTCATTTCAGCAAATTAAAGGCCACTCCTACCATTTTATTCGTTACTTTTTCGTGCGATATCTGTATATGTTTTATTATTATTATTATTTATATATTATTTGTCCCTTGGGTTCCTAATGGAACAAAGGGCTTCAGTAGCACGTCTCCAATGCGCTCTGTTCTCTGAAGTCTTTTAAACCTGCCTCCACCACTGCCACAACCTCTCATTTCCTCCGCGCACGATCTCTTCCATGTCACCCTCACCTCAGACGTCCAACTCGTCGCTTCAGGAATCATTGGAATATCAGGAATATCATTGGTGATAGTAGGCAGCCTTGTTTCACTCCTGTCTTCACTTCAAAAGCATTACTGAGCTCCCCATTGTGAATTACTTGGCTGGTATGTGGCGTCTTCATTTAGCTGTTGAATGAGATTGATAAAGGTTTATGGTATTCCGTAGTGTTGAAGCAGTTTCCAAATTACTTCTCGGTCGACGCTGTCAAAGGCCTTCTCAAAGTCGATGAAGTTGAGGTAGAGAGTTGACTGCCATTCTATTATCTGTTCTATGATGATGCGTAGCGTAGCGTTGCAATTTGGTCCGCACATGATTTGTACTTCCTGAATCCAGCCAGCCTGTTATGGTCGTAGTTTTGAATCCAGTGCATCCTCTAGCCTCTCCAGGATGATGCGGCTTAATATTTTGCTTGCCTCGGGTGGACACGGACAGGAGCGTGATTCCGCTCCAGTCCTTGCAAACACTTGGGTCTCCCTTCTTTGGAAGTTTGACAAAGTAACCCTTCTTCCAATCAACCGACAGGTACCTTCCCTTCCTTCCACACCTTCTGCAACAGTGGTGTAGTGTGGGCATGTCCGCTGTTGTCTCTGCGTCTGTTCTCAGTGCTTCTGGGATGATTCTATCTGGTCCTCCTGCTTTCCTGCATTTCAGTAGCTTTATGGCATTCAGGACTTCCACTTTTGTTGGAGGATTTATGTTCACTTGTAGTTCTGTGACTGCGGGCGGTATTTCTGGACGAAGTGCAGGTGGTGGTGGTGGTGGTCGGTCCAAGAGCTTCTTGAAGTGGTCAGCCCATCGTTTCCTTTGTTTCTCATCTTTGGTAACCAGCTTTCCTTCATCATCTTTTATTGGTTTCATCTGCGTTGATCTCTTCCACAACAGATAGTAACCTGGTTATTTGATACAATGTTGTCAGGTCTCTCCTACCAGCAGCCTGTTCTGCTTCACTTGCCAGTGTTTCGTAAAAGTGTCTTTTATCTTTGCGTGCACTCTTCTTCACTTCTTAAGTCCAGAGTAGTGTTTTGTACGTTCTACTCAGTTCGTCTTTTCGTTGTGCATCCCTGCACTGGTTTATCTTCTGCTTCACCATCACCATCTTCCTCTCCCTCCTCTATCTGCTTCCATGTGTCCATCGAGATCCATTCCACTCCTTATCTTCTTTCTTCCTCCTTTCTAATACGGTTGTGCATGTTTCTTTCCACATAGCTTTCAAAGACATCCAGTGTTCTTCCACACAGGTTTCTTCATGGATGTTCCTCGATATCTCCCATTTTGTCTGATGGCTGACTGACGTGAAGATTTCTTTTGTAGTTTCGTCCTTCAGTTTCCGAGTGTTGTACTTGAACTGCGGTCTATCACCAGCTTCCTTGAAGGCTTTCAACTTGATTTGCAAGGTTCCTTGCACTAGACAGTGAGTAGTCTTATCCTGAATCTGCTCCTCTTCTTGACCTTGTGTCGAGTAGGCTACGTCTCCACTTTCTTCACATTGAGATGAAGTCGATCTGGTTTTCAGAGTGGTGTGTCCTGGTGTCTGGTCAAATCCATGTTGCTTTTGTTAGAATATCCTTGTGCTTGAACACACTGCCTCTAATCACCAAGTCGTTGAATGCACACAGTTCTGCAAACAATCCTCCATTCTCGTTCATTTCAACGAGAGCTTCTCGACTCATGGTTAGTTCTCTTCCTGTGTTGTCCGCTCCCAGTTTGGCATTCATGTCGCCCATTAGAATTTTGATATCGCCAACTGAGGTCTTGTCCAGGGTTGATTGTAGTTGTCTGTAGAATTCATCATCGTGCGCACTGTAAACGTCAATGCAAGAGTAACTAAAGTGAGTGGATGGCTGACTGCATAAAATGAAAAGGCTTGTCTTTCGTGAAAAAACGATCAGGCATGAAGAGTTCCTAAAGTGAAGAGTTTTGAGATACCTTAGGTATTTCCCAGGATGGAAATAAGACTCTAGACATTAAGTTGACCAACCTATTCACGTACGATAGTTGAGTGTTCTACTAATCTATATCAAGTGCTTGCCGTATATACTCAAAACCACGCAGGAAATATTTTATTAGATGAATATGAAAATATTCATACAAGTTGAAATAAATAAGGTGGTACTAATTCATATTAGCCAAACATAGTTCGTTCTTCTCAATGAATTCGTTAGAACAACATGAAACTCCATTAAAACTACGCGAAGGCCGTGCCTACCAACTACAGTTTGGATGATTTCTACCAAAAACTGTAAGTTTTGCAAAATATAGCAATACAATGAAATGCAGCCATAGTAGCAGGCATCTTCAACGCTTAGGTAGGGAAGTTGAGTGAACTAGAAAGACATCAACGGAATCTCTTGCTAACGAACGTGGAATGGTGATCTACTGTTGCAATTTTTGCTTTGGTAATCACTTGTTTCTGAACAGAACTAACTTCAAGCATAAATGATGCTATCCCATTAGCGTCCTACAACGTCTAACCAACGATAGTCACACACCGACCAGATTGCTGTAAGCCATCAGAAGCATTTGTTTGAACCGTGACCAGGGGTTCGTAAAGGTACATGTATATTTATGGCTTCCCAGTCGTAGGAAACCGGCAACAGTCAAGTGTATGTACCTAGTTGGAAAGTTGCTACTCATATAACTTATCGATAAAGGAAGACATGCTGTATATTAATTAGGGTCAGCTTTTCTTATGTGCTGATACAATTACTGGACACTTTATTTTGCCCATTTTCACCACAGTCGGGCCAAATAGTTCTGATAATGAAGCGTTTAATGATGGGATTGTGAATCAGTGATTAGTATTTCCCCATCAGACAGCTTGTGATGACAAAGAGAGTTGAATTGATTAAAAAAAAAAGAACATGATCGATCATCTACAACTTACTACTGACTTGGTGTACTGAATTTCGTATCAAGTATAACCCTATCATTAATTTACCCAATCAGTTATATTCAGACGCTAGAAATTGTTTTACAGATTTATACCGTTGACTACAACATAATTACCTTAATTTATTGATCAGACCGAACGAAAACAACAATGTAGCGTATGAATAAATAAATTATTAATACTAATTAACCTGAAGTAGTAACAAGATCAGAGGGATAAAAGAGAAGACAAAAAGCACATGCAATTATTGTTGATATGATTTATGCACATGTCTATGTACAATGACTAAAAAATTTTAAAGTTAGTACTCATCGTAGATTGACATCAGTTGGAGGAACGATGGAAACCTGGGAGCACTGGACAGCTGTTTCGTCCTAGTATGGGACTCTTTCAGCAGTGCGCACCCATGACCCCGCCAGGGATAGAACCCGTGACCTTCAGGTTTCGTGGCCAGCACGTTACCATTGAGCAACTGGGTCGGAATCCAATGGTCCATATTTCCATATTTTTAACGCATCACAAATGCAACTTTTGCTTGTTAACACAAATTATACAAGAGGGAATACAAACAATTATCAGATTTTCCCATGAAAGACTGATAAGACTAAGGGTATGTGAATATAAGGACTAATGAATGCTGTCGGAGTTCTCAGCAAAGTAACCACAGTGGGGTTCAAGTAACAATAGTCTGATGTTTAGACTAAGAAAAAAATCACAGTCTCTTAAAATATAAATCATTTTACACGAACAAAATATAACATTAAAGAAACCTCTTACAAATAGGAAGGAAAAAAATTATAAAAGGTGACATAATCCTTTTACAGTAATAAGAGGAACCGATCATGCAAATTTACAGTTATGTTTTCTAACGTAATAAAAAGAAAAACTAGAATACAACAAGGGACGAACAAAGGAGGGGATCCGTTAGAAAAGCATACACACAAACACACACAGAATAGTATGAGAATGCATGAAACACGTTCAACCACTATTCAAAGAAAATCACAAACCGGTGTTAAACAATGATCTCAACGGTGAACAATCTGGTATTCTGACAGTTATACAACAAGACTTCATCACAAAGTCAGACGACTATAAACAACTCCATCACATGATTATTTACAATGAAGAGACTAAAATTACTAAAAATGCATAAAAATGAAATAAAAAGGTGAAATGCAACAAAATCACAACTTCACAGACACAGAAAAATGAAATTTCCACTACTATATAAAGCAAGATTACTACCTTCACAAGTGAAAGGAGCCATGGACGAAGAAGTAGCAAGTGAATGGTGATGAAAAATAATTTCGGGAAGAAATATCATGAATGCATTTTGTCTTGTATTAGGTAGATTGCGTAATTACGTGCAAACATGAAACACCCAGAAATTTGAGCAACGCATAAAATACCAATTTCACTGAACATTTCATAGCTGTACAGGGTAAATTACACGTTGATGGTTTTGTGCTCCAGCAGTACTTGGGTTAGTAGTTGCAGTGGACAGTGGCGACTGACTGAAAGTTTGTTCATGTACATCACCTGTTCTTTGTGGTAAGACGGATAAAATAGCACAACGAGAATTGTTCAGAGTATGTGAGCCACTTGAAATAGTATGACTTGGATCAGTTGACTTGTGATGTTTAACACGATGATGATGACGGTGAGACGATGTTTTCGAGCGTCTGGAATTACTTTGAGCAGAATCATGGAGTGATGATTGATGGGTCCTTAGCATGAATGCCTGACAGTCACTATGATGGGATCTCATTTCATTCAGAAAATATTGACGAGATTTCCTGTCATGTGAACTACCACTACCAGTGGTAGTCACTGAGCTAGGACCCGGTTTTCATTTTGAAACAAGCTGGAATTCTGTGGGGAAAGTGGTCTATACAGTTCGCCTAGGTACACAATACCTCCATTGGAAGTAAGATCACCCCCATGAGATATTGTTTCCACAGGTGTGTTAGTATGTAGTGCTGAGCCGATACCACTTAACTGATGGCTGAACAGTTCAGTGTTACTTCCATTGCAAGTCCCATCTCCATTTCCAGAATTACTATGCCCCGTTGTAACAGCTGCCTGATCACGTTTCAACTTCACAGATTCACGTGGACCACCGCTTGTTGTACCAGTTCGACTGCTGCTTGCAGTCACACTGCTTGCCGGTGGAACATTACATGCTCCATAGGGTGGTGGTGTATAGCACAATGGATCTGTTTATGAGGAAACACATAAATAGATAGAATTATAAGTTTTTCCATGAAGGTAAAAGTTAACAAGCACATAAACAGAGTTGAATGTATATCGGTATTGAGTACACATACACAAATGCGTGTAAACTAATTATACAGTTTTATTGGTACTCAAGCAGAATAGCATAAAAAGTCGACTCTCTATAGTTTAATTTTACGTGTGATTTTAGTTCGTCTACTTAGAATCATAGTCTAATAAGGTAAGGCTGAGGGTGATCAATGACTAGCAAGTTAACGGTTTACATAACAGCAAACCTTATCTTCTTTGGGTTAACAAGACGATTAAAAAATATCGCTAAAGGATATTCAAAGCAAACCTATACAGCGTAATGATCTGTTAAAAAACAAGATATGATTGGTATGTAGGAAAAAATTCTAGTACAATCAGTTTATTCTGTTATTATGTAGCGGAAAAAATTAAATGTTAACTACGGTTATATATAAAAAGACTTTTTCAAAAACAATACAAAATATATACAAGCACAGATTTAACTCATCAAGTTAGTGTCAGTCCAATAACAAGATAAGTTGAAAAAAGAATGAACATCATCATTCCATCGTCAAGAATCAACTAATCCGTAATGAGAGAAGCAACTGTACAGTGCTTGAATCGCAGAGCAGATAGACAAATTCAAAGCAAGGTTGGTCACGACCTGCCATGTCGAGCAAGCTCAAATAGGTTTCAGTTGGAAAAAAGTTAGAGGTGATTACACTAGAACATAGCATCAATTTACGAAATCCATGACTGTTGGAATGTGGACTTGTCAGAAACCAGTGGTTGGAGATTCAAAGTAACATAGCTCGGGGTTGATCTCAACGGCACAGATGTATCTACACGTTATTCTCATTTTAATCTTCATTCTTGCCTACTCTTTGATGACTTTCTTCATCCTACATCTAAGAGCATTCTCGTTTGAACCGTTACGCAGTTATACCAGATAGCATGTTGATTTTGTATACTTGTCTCCATCTGCAACCATGAAGGAACTCATGTCCGCTTGGTGACTCGAACTTGCAACAACCACCACTGCTGTAGTCAGATACTTCACCACTAAGCTATCCAGACTATACAGTGCACACTATTTAACTTAGTCGGCATATTGCAAAGTTGACTGATAGATTTCGGTCAACAATGAGAGCTAAGGAGTAATAAACAGGTGCATCGGTCACACACTGGTGCCCAACTCGTGTGTATAATCCAGTGCTGCAGGGAAACTGATGGTCTGAATACCTCAGTGGTAAAATCGAGGACTTCACAGTCCTGAGTGTCACAGGTTCGAATCACCAAGGTGATGTCAGTTTCCTTATGGATGGAGATACACTTTTATGATACGTGCCAACAAACACGAAACCAATGTCACGTAGGATTTCCTGTTGATTGACTTCCAACGTCCAACACTATTGGAAGCATTTCAGTTGGGACCTTATGCGTCAGTGTGCAAAATAATCTAAGAAAATCTCCATAACAATAATCAACAGAATTGATTTGAGTAGATATGTATTTTCATGAAGGTTTTATCCGGTTTAGCTTTTGAGAGTGAAATATTGATGCAACAATACCTTACACTGACTCTCCATAGATGAATTATGAATGTATTTGTGAAGAACTTAAATAGTTAAGTTCAAGAGCTAAATGAACTAGAAGGTTTCAGTTTGGGCATTGAAGAAGCATCACACCTCACATACAACTGATGAATTATTGTTAACAACGAAGATCACTAAGCACTCAACGAAAAATGTCCATGACGTAATGAACTATTTACTCAACCATTCCATTTGTCCCTATCTCGTCATTATTCTAACTAAAGAAACTATGCTACCTTTTCGTTTTCACTTTCACATTTATCTCTATGTACATCATTATTCCACTCAGTTACTCGTCACTGGGTTAAATTCTCGGATGTCTGTATCACTTCGAGTCATCAAACGGTTGCCTCCAGAAACCTGTCCTTCAGTCCTATGCCTGATACAACTATTCTCAAACTTAGTGTTCTGGTTAAGAATGACAACTTTACCGTCCACATCTTCATGCAGATCAGCCAACAGACAGGTTTGACTAGCATTCCGGAAAGCCTTGATATTGATTGATGTGTGCTATATCTCACAGACTCATATGCAAGATCTCATTGAAGTGCATGGAATAACTTCTGCATCTGTCAGTTCAGAAAGTGTTTACACAACGCCTATCTTGGGACCAGGTTACACCAGTAGCCAACCTTGTTGTGATCGGTGTCATGTCAAGATTCAGAGACGAAACTGAAGTAGTTGACTATCGCCGGCACGGCATACCACAGGGTTAAGAGAAGTGTGTTATTATTTGGTCTACCTTTCCTACCTCACTACTTCTATTATAGGCAAGGCAGCATCAGCGTGACACTGCTGGTCATCCAAGGGAAACAACATACCACTGTCAAACCCAAAGTCCAATCAGTAGTATGACTTCGCCTTCGGACCCCCATCATAGCGTAGCAATTTATATTACAATGGCAATGGCCTTTTGTTTCACAGCTATACAACTAACCTTTCTGGTATGCTAGTAGCTCGAGGGTACACTCGTTCGACTAGCATAGATTGTGAGTTACTGTGATATACCAGCCCGATCGCCACGTCAATGTAGCAGCTATAGCTGAACTAGATCCCCTTCAATAGTTCTCTTTGTGTAGCTATGCTAGAAGGTCTCATTGCAGTGAGAAGTAACTGGCAAGAGAAACGACATCTATTTGTCATCTCTGACTTTTCACAGACTGAAACAGCCCAGATGTACTTAAGCATGAGTTGTACTGTAAGTGGAGCAGTCTTCTTTACTAGTTGCGTTCGATAAATATCATAGTGCCATCATAGCTATTTACCTACCCATTTTTAAAAAGGCTCTACGTAGTGTATATGATAATCATTGTGGTAACAGGCCTAAAGTATTGGCTCCTTCAACACTTTGCACGGTGTGTAAAACGCATGCCGCCTTGGTATTAACACTAATGTGAAAGGTCAGATTTGTAACGCGTCGGAGCGGAGAGTTTTGTCCGACGCTTTGCAAGTCTGGCATATATGAGCGGAGGATATCTGACGATTATGTGGGTTTGCTCGCGACTGTCTCTGCGGAGTCGCTCACATCCGGTGGAAACACCTTGTAAGCAATTCTGACGTGAGGAAGCACGTTTGGGTGTAATGAACATCGTCATTTATCGAGTGTCTTCATCTTAAAACGCCAGCTTCAAGGCTTCCAAAGTGTGCCATGCATGCGCCATCCCAGCTGCTCTTATACAGATCACTGCTCATGTGTCCTGAAACTGGTTAGAAGAAGCGGGTAAGTGACCAGTGTGTCACAAGGCACTGCAGGATGAAGCGCAGTAGTGTTCAGTTAGCAAGTAAGTACCTCGCAACTCCTTGGATGGGGTTCGAGAGATCATATAAGTCAGTCGCTCAAGACGATGTCTCAAATGACTCGCAATTGAAACCAGTGGCAATCATGCTGCAGTTTTGCTGTCTTTCCTATCACTGAAAAGTGAAACGGAATTAGTAAATGGTTTTTCAGATGCATCTTCCAGACTGCGTTTTTGATAATCCACTTCTGTTCTTTCTCACAGTTTCCACCTTCCTAATGCTACTTCATGATTCTGTATGGCGCATCTTTTAGTGCTCACGTTTTACTAAATATGTTTTTCAATGATAACAGTAATAACAATAATGATGGTAATAATAACAGTATTAGTAAGCAAAAAGATGACGTAATTATAATGTAAGCGCAACCAACATATTAAGGTAACAGATATTAGTGGGTCTGTCACCGAGCTGTCTAACAGAGTATTTTGCACCAAAAAGATTTTTCACCAGGTTTTACGGTTTTCCAACCATTCATTTCCTGTAGTGAGCTGCTTCACCTGCGGAAAATTCGTAATAATAACAGTAACGTTTACATCAGACTGAAAAGTTATTACATAAAAACAATTACCTCTCCTGTAAGTATATGGACTGCCTAAAGCCCCATGAATCAGGGCAGGAGGAGGTCCTGGTGGTCCATTTTGATCAAATCCTTTGGCTAGGTATGTATTAATTGATGAGTAAGAGTCACTTCCATGATGACCGGTGGAAACAAAATATTGAGCTCCCATGGTTTCATTGGAAGGATTCAGCAAATGATGAGGACTATCCATCAACGATAATTTTAAAGGTGCTTGAAGAACACAATGTGGCTGAATGCCTTTCTCGTTATTCATATGTTGAGAAGCTGTGAGATAATGACCAACACCTTGATGGTATTGAGTAGGTACATTGTAAGCACGTTGTTGCAGATAATTTTCTCTCGCTGCCATTGAGTCAGATGGAAAATGAACGTTCTGCTGCCAATTGCTGTGAGTATTTTGTTGGTCACTGTCCACATGAGAAATCAAGTTTACGCGATCTGATAACTGTGCACTGGTGTTCACGGAAATTAGGTCTTGATGATGAGATCTACAATAACCATAAGGATTGTTTGTTCCATTTGCTGGATGGCTGGATGTATCAGACAGAAATGCACCGCTTCTAAGTTGAAGTCTGTTATCAAAATACTGATTGTTGTGAACTTCGTTGATTCGACAACAACGATGACAACAGCATATCACAGCTCCAATACCCAAGGTGAAGATAACAATAGTACTGACAGCTATAGCGATAGATGCAGGTATACCAAGCGACAAAAAACCCGATAACCAGTTATTAGGATCACTTGTGTCACCAGTAAGTAAGGGTATGTTCAAATCTCTCATACCTTTACGTAGAGAAAATAACAGAAAATATAGTTTAAAGTACTATCCAACATATTTCATTTTCTGTTAAAAAAAAGTGATCACGATAATCACGTAACAGGCTAAGACCAACACCTATTGTGTGAAGATCGATATAACTTGGTTATTGCGATATCTGAACCGTCAGCCCTGTGGTTGAAAATCACGTGCATGAACTGATAAGCTCAAGCTACGTAATGATAGTAACTGGAAATCTACACTATAAGCCATAAACACTCAGAATTACTCAGGAATAACATGAACACGATATTTCTGCATGTTTAACAATCGTGGGACTTCATCAAATGAACGGATTGGAACGGAAGCGGTTTTTTGTTAGGTGAGACCTTACTATAGAGTATATACTATTGGACAACACAAGGGATAAACCATCAGTTGTGGCCTGAAAAGCTTAGTAGTTGAGTGTCTGATTTTAGCACCATGTGTCACAGGTTCAAAACACCGAAGGAACACCAGTCTCGTCATAGTTGCAGATACGCGTTGCTAATTAATGTCAACAAGCACGAATCATATGTCGGGTAGGGCTTCGTACCAACTGACTTCCACTACCCATTACCAAGTGTGTATAAAAAAATATGACAACTTAGTGACTGATCCCAATTAAAAATGGCAAAGCCAGAGTTGGTAGTTGTGTTTCTATGACTCAGGAATGCCCAGGACAGGAAGTCACTGACCTGCATTTGTTAGTGAATTGGGACAAGGCTAATAGTGCTAACTCGTATTAAGCAAAACAGGAAGAAGTTACAATATGCAGGGATACGATTCATCAAGAGTCAAAGGACTAGGAGAAACAACTCGCCTCCATAATTTCTCAGAGGATTTTAATTCAAGGAAAATTCTATTAATAATATAAAAAGGATCGGAGACCTAACGCAATAAATGGTTCCATGGAAACCTTACTATTTCAACCTTTTTACAGGACATTTTCGATACATCATCACATAGTGTGATTATTATTCGATGATTACTGAATGTCAATACGCTGACAAACGAGGTTATTTTACTTTATCTAAGTATTTGAAAGTGCTACGGAGTGATATCAAAAATAATAAATAAGTGACCAAAATAATTTAGGGTGAAAATAAAAATTTAGTTTTCAATCTTTTAAGTGATACTGGATGGCAAAAATATGACTTCATTACATACTTGCACAGACATAAGTTTCCAATTACTCATGAGACGCATCATATTGGTAAGAAATTCAAAGACATTTTTATGCGTGACAGTAAGTGGTCACTTAAAACCTCCAGCGATGATTGAAAATTATGAAACCAATGACCAAAATCTCATATCCACCGAGTGGATAGTCCATCCATCGAAATTAACATAGGACCAAGCATTACTGCGTTACCATCCGAGTTGCCACACCTCATATCAGTACATCAAGTAAAAAGGCAGTGAAGTGGAAGATGAAGAAAAAAAATTCAGTCAAAAGAAATATAAACTACGAAAACAGAGAAACGAAGAATGAGAAAGTGGTCAGATTCGGTAAAGCATCGTTGTGATCGGGATAATGTATGTATACGTCTGCGCCACTGACATCGGTTCTGAACCATATCGCCTAGAGTCTCCAACCACTGGTTCATCTTGTCCCACAGACCCCAACCTCCTAGTCTGCATCACCCCACGTGGCTCAAACCAATAGTCAGAGACTTCATACATTGATGCCATGTTTTAATCTGGCCGCCTCGGGCCTTTTTCCAGCCTGTACCTACTTCGGCCAACATTGTGTGACGGGGCAATCGGCGACTAGGCCTACATAACAATTATGTCAACTATCTCAGTCGGTGAAGATTCAGAACCGTGTCAACTGACTTACCTCCTCCCAAAACTCTACACCTGACTTGTGCGTTACTTACGTGGTGACACCACGGAATACGGCCTATGCTACGAAGACAACGGTGGTCAAACACCTAAAGCCTTCTCATGTCTTCCACCTTCAATGGCCATGTTTCACAGCCATACAGTAAGACAGAGCGGACTGCTATGCAGTATGTGCGACCCTTAGCAGACAATCAGATATCATGGCGGCTCCACAGATGGCGTAAGTTGGCAAAAGCCAGCCGATTCTTTTGCATTCGTGAAGAGATTTCCTCGGTCACTGAGCCACTAGGCCTAATCCTACTTCCCGGGTAGGTGAAGTAGTCAACACATTCAACCACTACGCTCTCTATTGTTAGCCAAGGCACCATTGAAGACCAATCCTGGAACAACAATTTGCATTAGGGTGGTGAAAAACGCATCTCAAACATTCTCAAATTGCCACTCAATGTATCCCGGAGACTCCATCTTGTCAGCGTCTTTACCTAGGTATTCTAGGTCTACTAAAAATTCTCCTATGATTAGGTCAATCTCTGTGTAGTCAGGTGTCGAGAAGAAGACCTCCATAAGAACGTCTATGATAAAGTTGAATAAGAATGGAGAGAGTGGGCATCGTTGACAGACACCACTCGATGTACACAGCTCACCCTACATCTCACCATAGGCTCTAAGACGCTAACAGGTATTCGAGTAAAGAGCCCTCAATAAGCTGATGTACTTACTCGGTACACCTTTCAGTGAGAGACATTACCGTAAGACTTATCGGTCAACGGAGTCGAATGCCGCCTTCAGATAGAAAAATACAGCTATTGTCGGGTGTTGGTAAGCGTGTCTGTGTTCCAGAACCTGGTACAGTGTGAATATTTGGTAAATACACCCGCGACCGGGTCTAAAGACTGCCTGGTTTTCTCGGGCTTGCTGTTCCAGAGCTTCACTCAGGCGTCAAAGAATTATAGAACCTGAAATTTTAGATACTATATTCCTCAGGCTGATTGATTCCTTTGTGGTTATCACAAGAGGATTTCTCGTCTTTCTTGAAGACTAGAATAATCAATGACTTAGACCAGTCAGAGAGGGGACCATATTTGACACCCATACACTAGTTAGTACTTCAGTTAACTTGATTAACAGCACTCTACCACCATCCTTGTGTACTTCAGGAACTAGTTCGTCTGGTCCTACTGTCCTTCCTCGTTCCAGTTTACCACCACTTTCTCGACTTCTGCAAGTATTGGGAGGTCAGTCATAATGTTCCATTCTAGCTTTGACTAGATAGCGAGCAACGCAATAGTAGTTGGAAGCCAGCTGAACTGTTCCAGCCGCCTTCCTTGTGAGTGAATCGCTGAATCATCCTTCTCCGTGAACCTTTTCGCCCCCGTTTCTTTAATAAGTCTAAATCATTGTCTATTGTTACCTACCTGTACGAACGCGTGATCACCGTCTAAACAGGTACTTTTGGTGGCTGATTGCGATGTGATTGGTATGTATCGATCGTTGGTTTAATGCTATAGGATGCCTAGTGAGACACTATCGCTCTTTTTGTTGAGACTAATGCTAACCAGAAACGAGTAAATGTCACAACAAAATGACAGTTCGTTGGCAACAGATAGATACTTAGATACTTTCAAGATGCCTTTCTAATGGACTTAGCTTTCTTACTAAGGCGTTGAAGTTGCCCGTTATTACAACTATATCTGAACGTATTGCTATATGTGGCAAAACTGAGTTTTTGGTAATCATCCTGTGCATTACCCGAAATACAGTCGGCGGATGCGTATGCGGACAATAGAATTATAATTAGGCATCGACAATTCTCACGACCTATTCCACTTCCTACAGACCGATTCAGTTAGACAGCACACAGATGACATTTGGCTGATTTCCAGTTGTGAAGTGCACTCTTCGATGGAGAAATTAATGTTGTACTCAAACTAGGGAGTCCATGAGAGTCAACCATTCAATCTCAGGAAACGCTTAAAGTGGGCTTCGCAAATTCACCACATATGCAAGGTGATATCATGCAAATCACCACACTCAGTTTCTGTGCAAGTGAGAATGGACTCAGACGAAAGATAAAGAAACAATGAAGAAAGTAGTCAAAGTGGTAAAAAGTCGTGAGGAGAGCAAGGAAAATTGAGACAATAATAAAATTCAGTATGACGATTAAGGAGAGGATAATGTGTGGATACGTCTATGTCACTGACATCGATTTTGAACCAACCATATCACGCCCAGAGTCTCCAACCACTGGTTTCTGGCATCATGTAGACACAAACTGGTAAGTATAAATTAGCCTACATGGCTCACACCAACCGTCGGAGACTTCGTGCAATGATGCCATATTTTGGAGTGGCTGTCTATTACTTCTTCCTAGGTTGCATCTGCCTCAGCCAACATCTTGAGATTAGGCAGAGTAGGATTAGACATGCGTAAGACATGTTCAAGTTACCTGAACCGATGAGGGTTCACAACCTCATCAGCTGAATTTCCTCTCCTCCCTAAAACTATACGCCTGACTTTGTTACTCACGTGGTGATACCACGACTGAACTGATGACATGAAGGCAACGGTGGTCAAATACCTGAAGCCGCCTCATTTTCTCTATCTAAAATGGCCATGTTTCACAGCCATACAGTACAGTAGAGCAAACTGCGGTGCAGTAAACTTGACTCTTGGTAGGTTATCCAGATATGATGGCGAGAGATACCTAATGTCCAATTTCGAACAAGGTTGGGAAGTTGAGATCTTCAATTTGAAATCGGAAGAGGGATTTGGGGGATCAGAAAGTGGTGCACTGGTTTCGATCGTTAACAAAGGTCGCAGGGGGAGGTAGAGGAAGTTGAAAGAGGCACAGATGTAGGTTATGACTGATTGGGATTTATGCATTACTGGAAGCATGCGGGTGGTTAGTACTTCTCGACTGGTCACACCGTAGAAGCTGGTTCTACAGTGTACCTGAATGGGTAAAAGGAATAGATCTACGTGACTGCAGAGTTCAAGAGAAATCTACTTGAGGCCTGTCACGTACGGTCTTTTCAGGGATGTTGGTTTGAGATTTGATTGTTCTACCGCCGAGTAAGAGAACCCCATACCATTGGGATGGAAATACCGCAGGGTAAAGACGAGAATGCTATTTTTCGCACCAACCTTTTATAACCACCTTTCACATAGAGAAGGCAGCATCGGCACAGTAGTGTTGATCACCGACAGGAGACACTGATGTTATAGTTCCAGCCAGACAGCATTAGAGCTTTTCTCTCGGACCCCCATCATAGAGTAGCTTTTCTTACCACTATCTAACAGACCGCTCTGGCATGATAGGACCTCGAGAGAACAATTCATCATCATCATCATTATCAACATAGGACCAGGCATTACTGCGTAACGGTCCGAGTTGCCACACCTCATATCAGCACATCAAGTAAAAAGGTAGTGAGGTGAAGGATGAAGATAAGTGAATGCAGTCAAAAGAAATATAAAGTATGAGAAGAAAGGAAAGAGGAGTGACAAAATAGTGAGATTCGGTATAGCGTTGTTAAGATGAGGATAATGTGTGTATACATCTGCGCCACTGACTTCGGTTCTGAGCCATATCACCTAGGGTCTCCAACCACTGGTTCCTCTTGTCCCGTGGACCCCAACCACCTAGTCTGCATCGTCCTACATGGCTTAAACCAACAGTCAGAGACTTCATACATTGGTGCCATGTTTTAGTCTGGCCACCTCGGGCCTTTTTCCAGCCTGAACCCACCTCAGCCAACATTGTGTGACGAGGCAATCGGTGACTAGGCATACGTAGTACGTGTCCCAACCATCTCAGTCGATGAAGGTTCACAACCTCGTCGACTGACTTACCTCTTCTCCCTAAAACTCTACACCTAACTTCTGCATTACTCACATGGTGACACCACGGAATACGTCCTATACTACGAAGGCAACGGTGGTCAAACACCTGAAACCTTTTTGTATCTTCCACTTTCAATGGCCATGTTTCACAGCCATACAGTAGAACAGAGCGGACTGCTGTGCAGTACACGCGACCCTTAATAGACAAACGAATATCACGGCGGCGCCATAGGTGGCGCAAATTGGCAAAAGCCAATCGAGCCTTTTGTATCCGTGCAGAAATCTCATCGGCAACTAACCCACCGGGTTGATCCTACTTCCCAGGTAAGTGAAGTGGTCAACACACTCAACCACTTCACTCTCTATTGTTAACCGCGGTACCGCTGAAGACCAGTCCTGGAGCAAAAATTTGCATTTGGGTGGTGAAAATCGCATCCCAAACATTCTCAAATTCCCACTCAAAGTGTTCAGAAGACTCTGCATCTTGTCAGCGTCTTCACCTAACAGGACTATGTCATCTGCATATTCTAGATCTAAGGAAAATTCACCTGTGATCCGGTCAACGTCTTTGTAATTAGGTGACGAGAGGGAAACCTCCATAAGAATATCTATGATAAAATTAAATAAGAATGGGGATAGTGGGCATCCTTGACGGACACCACTTGATGAGTATAGCTCCCTGGACAACTCACCATAGGCTCTAACATGCCCACAAGTGTTCGAGTAGAGAGCTTTCAATAAGGTGATGTACTTACTAGGCACGCCTTTCAGTGACAGACACTGCCATAAGACTTCTCGATCAACGGAGTCAAATGCCGCCTTCAGGTCGAGAAATACAGCTATTGTCGGGCGTCTGTAAGCATGCCTATGTTCCAGGACCTGGCGCAGTGTGAATATTTGGTCGATACATCCACGGCCAGGTCTAAAGCCTGCCTGGTTTTCTCGGGCTTGCTGTTCCCGAGCTCCACTCAGGCGTCGGAGAATTATAGAACTTAGGATCTTAGACACTATGTTTGTCAGGCTGATTCCTCTGTGGTTATCACAAGAGGACTTCTCGCCTTTCTTGAAGACTGGGATGATGAGTGACTTAGACCAGTCGGAGGGGATCGTATTTGATTCCCATATACTGGCTAACACTTCCGTTAGCCTGACTAAGAGAACTCTACCACCATTCTTGTATACCTCAGCAGGTAGTCCGTCTGGTCCTGCTGCCCTTCCCGTTTCAGGCTACCTACCGCTTTCTCAACTTCTTCTAGTGTTGGGGGACCTGTCTCTATGTCCCATTCAGGGTCCGACTGGATAGCGGGCAGCGCAATGGTGGCTGGAGGCCAGTTAAACTGTTCCTCAAAGTGTTCTGCCCATCGTCCCAGTCGCCTTCCCTGCGAGTGAATCGCCGATCCGTCCTTCTCCGCTATAACCTCACTAACTGTTGTTGACCATTTCCCCCCAGTCTCCTTAATAAGTCTAAATAACTGTCTACTGTTACCGATCGCCGCTGCCTTTTCCATCTCTTTAGCCTTTGCTGCCCACCACTGTTCACGATCGTTGCGCAGACTTTTCGTCAGTTATTTTTAAGTTGCGCTCGCTCTTCATTGTACTCAGAGCCTGCAGGGATGCATTCACGTGCATCCATTAGTTTGGAAGAAGCTGCTGATATCCACTGGCTCTTTTTAGCCATTATCTTGGAGTCGGCTACAGTCTCCAGTGCTGCTTTTACAGTAGACTGAAGATGGCACCAAGCTTCTTCTGGATGAGTGACAGTCTTTTGTTCCGATAACTGCCTAGCCAACTTCTCACTGAACACGGCTTTGGTGTTTTCGTTGTCCAGCAGAACTCGTAGTGGTTTTGTTGCCAAATTTTTTCTACGTCCATTGAGACGCAGGCATATACGTGCTCGGACCAACGCATGATCGCTGTCCAAACACGTACTCCAGAAGGAGCGGCAGTCTTCCACCGATCCTCTCCAGCGATGACTAATAGCAATGTGGTCTATCTGTGTCCATCGCTGAGTCGAGCTCGGTGGACGCCAGGTCAGACAGTGCCTTTCTTTATGTCTGAAATTTGTGCTGGCTAAAAATAGGCGGTTATCTGAGCATAGTTGTAATAGGCGATCACCGTTATCTGTACGTTCAGCTGGGATTCCGAAAGTGCCACCTAAGTGCCTTTCTGCCTCACTCAGTCTACCCACCTGTGCGTTGAGGTCACCTGCAACAACCACTACGTCCGAACGTTTGGCTTTCGAGAGGAGGTTAGACAGTTTATGGTAGAACTCGTCCTTCACTTCATCCGAACTACAGTCAGTGGGTGCGTAAGCAGAGATTACAAAGAGACAACGGCGAGTCTCACTATTCCTTTTAGTTCTCACTGTGCCGTTCAGCCTCATAGCGCAGAGGCGACTATCAACTGGGATCCAGTCTAGTAGTGAGTTTTCTGCCCTGGTGCTTAATGCTATACCTACACCTGCAAGACCACGAGAGCTAGCTATCGAATCTCCAGAAACTCGAAGGGTGAATTTTGCAGATTCACCAGATTGGGTCAGGTGAATAACCACACTTGGGTCCTGTATGCGTGTCTCACAAACACAGCACACATCCATGCCCGAGTTGCTAGAGTCTTTGCCAACGAAGCCTGTTGGCCAATTTGACGGAGGGTGCGGACATTGAAGGCTCCAATATGTAATTTGGAGCGTGGTTTAAGGAGACCAGGGATGCTGTTCTGTGGACTCAGATCGTTGTCGAAGGCTGCAGAGGTAGGAGAAATTGAAGATGATGCAGCATCATTAATTAAGAGACGTGAAGGAAGATTAGAAGGTAATGATGGAGGAGGAGGATAGCAGTCAGAAGAAACTTGGGTGCTGACAGAGTTGTGAGGGCGGTTGACACTTCCCGGCTGCCCACACCGTGGAAGGCTATTTCTTCTTAAGGTACCTGAAAGAGATTTGTGTGACCGCAGAGCCCATCGGACATCTGCTTGAGGCCTGTCACACCCAGCCTTTTGAGTATGATTATTTTGAATTTTTGTTTTTTTGGGGCCGGATGGTCGAAAGGAAACGACAAGTGAACCAACACCGCCGGCCCGGCAGACCGTGGGGCGTGGTGGAGTGTGTTATTTTTGGGGCCGACCTTTTCTAACCCCCCTTCCACTGAGAAGGCAGCATCAGCATGGCACTGCTGGTCATCCAAGGGAAACACCTTACTGCTGTCACACCCCATCCAGCTAGCAGCAGTACGACTTCGCCCTCAGACCCCCATCATAGTGTAGCAATTTACACTATAACGGTAACTGCTTTTCGTCTAACCACTACCCAACAGACCTTTCTGGTATGGTAGGACCTCGAGGGAACAAGCGTTCCACCAGCATAGCTCGTTGGGTCATTGTGATATGCAAGCCCGACCACCACGTCAAGGTAGCAGCTATCGGTCGGGCGAGAGAGCAACTGCTTCAGATAGTGTAACCAGCTGGGTCACTGTGAAATTCAAGCCTAAGAACTGCGTCAAGGTGGCAGCTATAGATTTAATTTTCATAAAAACGAAAATACAGCATAAAAGAGGTTAAATTTAATGCTTCAAATGGCGATTTGCGAAGAATGTCGGGAATAAGTAGGCGAAAATAATCCATTGAGGAAAGCAAATTTTACGACAGAAAGTTATCTGTGTATGACTTGAGCAGATAAACTGAACAAAAGTTTGGGATTTAATTAATAGATGTGATCATAAAATTAACTCATAAAAATTTCAAAGTGAAGAATATATCAGACGTTATAAGTTATTTCATTGTGCGAGGTGTTTACCATTGTGTTCCGTAGGTAGTAGTATTGAAGTCAGGAGATGGATTTCGTCTTCAGACTGTGTCATACGGCGAAATTATCAACCCAAAGGAAAATAATGTTAACGGAAATTATTTATTGATAGTTACGAGAACAGATAAAATCGGTTAACATACCAATAATAGTTTGGCATCGAGAAACGTCTTCATCTTTTCCATCTTCACAATTCATAACTCCATCACATAAACTTTTCCTGGTAATACAATACCCTACAGATTGCTTGTCTTGGTTAGATGGAAATCTTTCATCTTTCCCTCGCATATTTTGTGAAAGAGGGAGGGAAGATCCATACAGCCGGTTCTCTGCTGTTAGAGAATTTAGTCCCATTACTGGATTTGACATCACAAAACGAGGCATTAGACCACAGTAGAAATTGTCTAACGGGCAGGTGTTGGTTTGAGCTTATAAAATAGAAAAACAAGTTTCATAAGACATAATGTCGAAGATTACTACATGCACGAAAAATGATGACTTCGATAAGAAACTGATAACCGATGAGTTGTTCAAAATCATACGTAAAGTGACATTCTTCATCATGTCCAAGCATACTTTATTAGAGTATACTACAAAATCAGCCAACTGTACTGAGAAAATAATAACCAGCTACCGTGCAAAAACCTAACCACATAAACGCACAAACAGTGAAATATGACGCAGCCGTTCGTTATCGTAACGAATTATGGAAAATTATGTGAGTGGAAATGCAAACAAAAGCTGAGTAATAATTTCACGACTAACAAGAACAACAAGGTAAAACTGAGTTTGCCTTGTTATACAACAAGATAAGATGACTGTAAACAGTGACCACAGAATATGGTGAATAGACGGTATATGCCTCGACAGAAAGATATACACCGAGATTTGCTAGTAAAAACTGAGTCTGAATTTCCTACAGTGAATGCTATAATTGCAAGCAATACAATGCCAAGAAGGACGATTGATAAAAAGGTTCATACTTTTACAATTCTAATAATACAATAAAATAAGCAACGAGGGTGAAGCAATACAGCAGCTTGTACCAGTGAGTAACAGCCGTAAAACGCTACCAAGGACTACCAGTATGTGAAGCTGAAGCCATGTTCACTCCACAAAAGATGAGCCAGTGGAAATTCCATGTGTGAGAGTTCCAAAAAAATCGAAACTCTCAGACAATACCCTCTTACACACTTCAAGGAACTCTAACTAGAACAAATGGGTCATAATCTCAGAGTGATATGGAAATCACCACGAACTAACCACCCATTTCCTTCAAGTACTTCATGATGGAACACTTAAAAACGTGAGTGACGCGTAAGACTAGAACGCCACCACAACTATCAGTATCTATATCCATTTTCATCAACACCGCTAACGGCGTCCAGCGTAAATTATAGGCGAATACACATTATTTCCATACAAACGGTAACATCGAATAGCTCCCGTCCAACGTTTAATCAACCATGTTAAAAATCGTAGCATGTGCTAGTGCGCATTTCAAAATATATTCGACTCATAATTTCACAAGTATAAAACCGAATTCCAAAGCGATGATTCCTATCCTCTCAGGGACCTCAACCAGGTATTCTACATCTCACAACACAACTCAAACCAACAGTCAGGGACTTCAACGACTGACGCAATATCGTAGTCTGGCCACCCTGAACCCTCTTCCAACCTAATCTAACTTCTTCTACAATGGCACATTGAGGTAGGCGGTGACACGGCATGCACAACACACGTCCACTACATTTCAGTTGTTGAAGACTTACAAACTTATCAATCGACTAGCCCATCTTTCCCAGTACCATTCGCCTGACTTCAACATTGATCATATGATGATTCTGCGAAACCCACACATGCTAGCAAAGGTCAAACGAGCCTTCCGTATACGAGCTGACATTTCATCAGACACCAACCCGTTTAAGCTGGTGCAACTCGTCAAGTAAATGAATTGGTCGACACATTCCAACACTTCACTCCTTATCATCAAACTCGGAGTGGTTGGAGCACACCAGTCCTGGAGTATCATTTTACATGTGATAGGAGAACTCGTGACCCACCACTTGTAAGTCAAGCAACTAGGATAATAAGCTGAAGACATACATCTCAATAGGCCAAATACAACTGATCCATGTGACAAGATGTCGGCTTTAATTACGATGAACAGATCGTCACAAATAGTTTACCAGAGGCTTCAATCTCCACATCGTTCAGTCGAACAACAAACTCCATCAGTATCATGAAACACAAATGTATACTATTCCTGAGACTGATACACAGAACGCCTGGATAATATGGTGCATCTATGAAACTCACTCTTCGAAAATCTTCAATTCCAACAGTCAGTCCCCATCGCCTTTCAAATACACATGCAGCACTTACTCCCAAGGCAGTGAGAGCACAGTTCGACTGACTTCCAGTCAACAGCCACCTCTGTGAGCTGTTCCACCAAACAGCCCAAAAGAATTGAAGAAGGCTTGTGGTACACACACTCAAGTCTCTGCTCACAAACCCACTATCTGCAACTTATAAACAATAATGGCGATCTCCTACTACAAATGTATTCAGACAACCCATTTCAGAAATATAAAATCCAAGGGGGCAGCAAATGAATCTTTCATTGGCCTGCTCAGCCAAAAAGGGGTTTTTTAGACAATCAACAGACATTGTAACAACCGATTTTTAAACAGGATGAGTGTATCTGTAGTTCGCTGCGGAAACAAGGATGAATACAGTAACTAACCCTTGAGAAAAAGTGTTAGAAACTATCCGAGTCGGCATGCGAAAAAAATGTCCACTACGTTTCAGTCGTTGAAGATTTATAACCATGCCAATCGACTAGTTTATGTTTCCTCGTACCTTTCGCCTGACCTCAGCGTTGTTCATATGGTGATTCTACGAAACGTGGGCAACCAATGCTATGAAGATGTCTGTGAGCAGAAACCCATCAACACCTTATGTCTTCTACTGTTAATAGTTATGCATCGACCGTATAATAGGATAAAACGGACTGCATCACAGTATACTCGTCCTTATATAGATAGTCGGATATCTCATCAGTCGGCACTACAGATGAAGCAAGCCGGCAAATGCCAAACGAGCCTTCTGTATCCGAGCTAATATTTCGTCAGTAACCAGGCCGTTCGAGCTATGGGAACTCGTCAAGTAAGTGAAGTGGTCAACACATTCCAACACTTCGCTTCTTATCATTAAACTAGTAGTTGCAGACCAGCCTTTCAGCAACATCTAACATTTGACAGGTGCGAGACGCACGTGAAAAATAATGCTGCACGAGTTTAGAAGACCCTGCATTTTTTCGTTGTCTCCATATAGCATGACAATGTCGTCTGCATACTCCAAGTCAACCATATGGCCTTCGGGAAGTCAACTAATCCTTGCGAAGATAGAAGTGAGGAGACACGTTTAGGTGAAATGAAGATCGTCCCTAACCAAGTGTCATCACCTTGAAACACCAGCGTCCAAGGCTCGAAAACGTGCTCTGCATGCCATTCCAGCTGCTCTTATACAGATTACTGTTCACGTGTCCCGAAACTGGTTGGGAGAAGCGGGAACGTGTCAAGTGTGTCACAAGGTACTGTGGAATGAAGCATAGTAGTGCTTAGCTAATATTTGTAAGACGATAGCTCACACGGCCCGTAACTGAAAGCAGTGGCAATCATGCTGCAGTTTCGTTGTCCTTTTAACTACAGGAAAGTGAAATAGGATTAGTGGATGCTTCTTCAGAGGTATCGCCCAGACTTGTTTTCTGGCAACCCACTTCTGTTCTCTCCTCCGTTTTGTCTTCTTAATGTTCTTTTTTATTTTGTATGGTGCATCTCTTAGTGGTCATGTTGTACTCATTTTGTTTTCCAATAGTAATGATAGTCATAACAATAATAATAATAATTGTAATATTAGGCACACGGATGATGTAATTGCTATAAAATGCTGACGAAGTGTAGTTTTTTTTAGTAGTCACAAAGCTAAACGCCGAACCTGTTTGACACCCGTTGTATGAAGGGTCAGTTCTTGTTTCGACTAGGCCTTAACATTTCACAAGATCTTGGGATACAGGTGCACTTAACAGTGAGAGATACTAGCTGTATTTCCTCACCTAGAGACGGCATTTAACTCCATTTTATGGTATTATCGCTATATGAAATTCATGTCCAGGAAGTGTATCACACTACTAAGGACTGTACACTCAAAGACCCTGTAAGAGCTTATGTTGAAGTATTGGGTGAGTTGTCAAAGTCTAGTAGTGTCCTTATTGTAAGAGTAAAACTTAGGTTTTGTGATAGATTGTAATTCCATTTTAGTTCGTTTATCAGATGTACCATAGCGTGGGACAGTATTACTTGCTGGATAACGTTCCGGTCACAATGAATCATTTGTAGTTATCTTGGTATGAATGTGGACAATAAATTGTGTCCGAAAAGCAACCCAGTGAATAATACTGTTTCGCTATGTGATACATCTTATAAATAAAATAAAATGGAATTCCAATGGTGTCCATCAGGATATCAACTCTCACCATTTTACTTACAATTCTCGTAGATAAACGTTAGTGTTTTTCATTCACCATCTGATTTTACAAGGACTAACCTCCTCACAGGAAACTCCTTGGTCAAATTAGAATATCCGGACGATTTAGTCGTTTAAGGAGAATATGTGAACAAGAAACAGAGTTTTCTACATTATTTGAAACCGGAATTGAAGGACAAGAGAAGATGATCGATTTTCCCCCATTTCTCTTTAACCGTAACATTCATGGCGTTTCCGAGACAGCTCTGAGGCGAATGATGTAGATCTGTTAACAAGATAAAGGCTTTCAACACCGAGTATGCAAAAATTATCATTTTACTGTGCAACAACAAACAGGCTACTCATGATATACTTCAACAGATGGCAATCAGTGTCCGTATCGTCATCTTAACCGTCAGTTGAAATATGAGTTAGAGAGTTTAAATGACAGACTAAATGCTATAAAAATATGAATCACAGATGGGTTAACAAATGGAAGGGAAGAAGGACCTACTCTCTTGAACTGCAGTCAAAATGACTCGAAATCCTGGTTTCGCACCGGCCAAAATAGGGGGTCGTTGAGATGTACTGGAAACAAGGTAATGTGAAACAATATTGAAAGATAGTACTTAGCGAGTATATATGGATAAGAAACAGAAGTCAAAACACCTGTTCGAGGGTAAAATTGAAAATACGCACATCCAGATAAATTATAGTATTTTGCTAGCCTAAGAAAAACCAAGAAAAGTGAACGCATATCAACTAATTGATGACTGTTCACAGATCAGAATGGTTGAATATCGGAAGACAGAGAATAAAACAAATGCCTAACAAAAAACCATGACAAGTTATTCCGTATATAATGCATAAATATACGATTACAAAATGCCACAGATTAGACAATCAGTTTCGGTCAAAAGCATCAGGCCCATTTGTTATTTACTGTGGTAAACTGTTCTGCTGCCTTGCATCGTTTCAAGTTTGATACAGCTTTCTCAACTTTAAGGAGAGTCAGTGGACACCTACATCCCGTTCAGATTACGACTGCCTGAATGTTGGGCAACTTAAGCGTTTCTGACGGCCAGTAGGACTGTGCTTCAAAGTGTTCTGCACAATGTTTTAGCTCCCTGTCCTGGAAAGTTATCAGCGTCTTATCTTTTTCTATGATGGTTTCGCTAACTATCGTCTTCTTTTCGGTATCCTTAATTAGCCAAATTAGTTTCTGAGTGTTACCCGCAGCTGACGCCTTCTCCATCTATCTCACTTTCGCCACCTACCACTCCTCGTAATCATTGAGAAGACTTTTGGTCAACTTACATTGAACTTGAGTCCGCCCTTTATTGTTGTCAGACCTAGTTGGGATTTGTCTTCTCGCATCAATCAGACGACACTGCGGAAATACAATGACGTTTGGTAACTTTCGAAGGTAAGTTACCAACTGTCTTCACCGCTGTTTCTACAACAGACTTAATGTCCCGTCACTTTTCTTCAGGATCAGGATCGCTGTTACGCTCACATAAATGCTTAGCTAAGTCCTCAGTAAATACACACTTGAAGTCCTCATCTTCCAATCAAGCTTTACTATTGCCTGTTTCCTGCGATGGTTGCGTCTATTGTTGGTTTGATGTTGATGGACTCCATGTTAGACAGTATCTCTCCTTATGTTTAAAGCGAGTGCTGGTCAGAAACAAGTCACTATCGGAACAAACTTGCAACAGACAATCACCGTTGCCAGTTCGTTGGCATGGGATCCCGTAAATACCTTCAAGATGTCTTTCCGGTTGGCTAAGCTTCACTACTTGGGCGTTCAAATCACCTCCCATTATGACTACATCTGAACGTTTTGCTTTCTGTAGCGAAATTGATAGCTTATCATAGAATTCATCTTTTGCATCATCCGGAGATTACGAATAGGCATAGCCTAGTCTCACGATCCTTTCTAGTTCTTAGAGATGTATTCAGCCGAACAGCACATAGACAGCTGTCGACTGGTATCCAGTTGAGAAGCGCACTTTCTACCAACAACCAGTGAGTCAATGAAGACTGGCCATTGGGTTTCCAGATATTCGTAGTGTGAATTTTGAAGACTCACTAATATGGTCAGGTGAGGTTAATTTAATAACCACACTTGGGTCATGTGTACGCGTATCAGAGGTGTAAGCATAAACCTATGGCTAGAGATCCCAGAGTTCTGATGAGCGATGCCTGGAGTCCGATTTAGTATAGAGTTCAGACGTTCTAAGCTCCTACATACAGTCGATGACGTGATCATGGGGAAACTAGGAATGAAGTTTCGATGGCATTGGTTGCAGAATGAGAGTTTGGGGAACGTGTAGGGTCTCAATATTAATATCAGGAGGTGAGAGCAAAGGAGGAGAAAAAGTTGAAGAGGATAGGTTATGTTTGGTTGAGTCTTGCGTACTACTGGAAACGTCCGGGCGGTTGACACTTCTCGGCAGCCCACAATGTGGAAGTCTAGTTCTTTTTGAGGCCCCTGAAAAAGGGATTTGTAGCCGCAGAGCCCATGCGACATCTGTTTGAGGCCGGTCACACACGGCCTTTTGGGAAGCTTGATATTCTTTTTTTGCTTTAGAAACGGACTGTGAACCCCTGTTGCAAGCATCGGCATGTAACAAAGGGGTGGGAGTGTGCTATTTTGGGGGTCAGCCTTTTCTAACCCCTGCTTCCTGTCGGGAAGGCAGCATCAGCTTGGCATTGCTGGGAAACAAGGGAAACACCTTACTGCTGTCACAAACCATGGAGCTAGTGGTGGTACGACTTTCCTCTAAAACACCTATCATAACGTAGTAATTTAAACTATAATGCTAACTGTTCAGTGTCTAACCATTGTCCAATAGACCATTCTGGTAGGATGATACATCAAGGCAACAAACGTTAGTTGAGTCATAGTGATATACGGTGATATATAGTGTATGAGTATCCAAAGTAGTATCGTCAGACTGGTCTCCATTCCCGATTATCCCAGTCTATAAGAAGGGGGAGAAATCTTGTGAGAAACAGGGAATTAGTTTGACTAATACTGTGTCTAACTTCCTAGGATTCATGAACACCAGACGCCAAACTGGAGCTCAATAACAGAAAACCAGGCAGGTCTAGACCTGGAAGAGGGTGCATCGATCATATTTTCACCAACCGACAGGTAATGGGACATAAGTATACCTAACGGTGGAGCCATGGCTCATTATTTTGGAGAGACGACTTTAAACCATTGTCACTAGTTCGAGCCCTGCTCCACCTATAGAAGTCCAAGTAGGCAGGTAGTATTATTAGCCCTCGTATAGCACGTGTGCTTTATCGCCCACCGCACGAATGTTCAGTATTTTGGAAAAAATCATAAACTTGACTTGAAGGCGGCATCTGACTCCATCGATCGTGGGGTATTACAGCAGTGTGAATGTGAGGGAAGAACCGGAGTATATAATGCTTATCAAAGCTCTTTACTCGAACTCACGCAGCCACGTAAGGTCTAACGGGTAGTTGTCATCAGAATTAACGACAACTAGTGGTTTGTCTGGGGTGCTTACTGTCACTGTTTCTATTTAACCTCGTCATATATGTATGAGTCGGAATAAAACTCATTACATCTGACTTCGCATGGCCTGATCTACTCCATGAGCATTATTTTGTTGACCTGCGGTATGCAGACGAAATGGCCGTGACAGGTGAAAAAGCTGAAAAAATGTACTGTCCTTTCCATGAGTTTAACAAAAATCCAATTAGGTTTAGTACATATCCCCCTCCACTACCAGACGATAGATGATATTCAAAAACCACAGCAATGCAACCACACCCGCCGTAATGATAAGAAGCGAAGTGTTGGAATATGTTGACCACTTCACTTACTTGACGAGTTCCCATAGCTCGAACGGCCTGGTTACTGACGAAATATTAGCTCGGATACAGAAGGCTCGTTTGGCATTTGCCGGCTTGCTTCATCTGTAGTGCCGACTGATGAGATATCCGACTATCTATATAAGGACGAGTATACTGTGATGCAGTCCGTTTTATCCTATTATACGGTCGATGCATAACTATTAACAGTAGAAGACATAAGGTGTTGACGGGTTTCTGCTCACAGACATCTTCATAGCATTGGTTGCCCACGTTTCGTAGAATCACCATATGAACAACGCTGAGGTCAGGCGAAAGGTACGAGGAAACATAAACTAGTCGATTGGCATGGTTATAAATCTTCAACGACTGAAACGTAGTGGACATTTTTTTCGCATGCCGACTCGGATAGTTTCTAACACTTTTTCTCAAGGGTTAGTTACTGTATTCATCCTTGTTTCCGCAGCGAACTACAGATACACTCATCCTGTTTAAAAATCGGTTGTTACAATGTCTGTTGATTGTCTAAAAAACCCCTTTTTGGCTGAGCAGGCCAATGAAAGATTCATTTGCTGCCCCCTTGGATTTTATATTTCTGAAATGGGTTGTCTGAATACATTTGTAGTAGGAGATCGCCATTATTGTTTATAAGTTGCAGATAGTGGGTTTGTGAGCAGAGACTTGAGTGTGTGTACCACAAGCCTTCTTCAATTCTTTTGGGCTGTTTGGTGGAACAGCTCACAGAGGTGGCTGTTGACTGGAAGTCAGTCGAACTGTGCTCTCACTGCCTTGGGAGTAAGTGCTGCATGTGTATTTGAAAGGCGATGGGGACTGACTGTTGGAATTGAAGATTTTCGAAGAGTGAGTTTCATAGATGCACCATATTATCCAGGCGTTCTGTGTATCAGTCTCAGGAATAGTATACATTTGTGTTTCATGATACTGATGGAGTTTGTTGTTCGACTGAACGATGTGGAGATTGAAGCCTCTGGTAAACTATTTGTGACGATCTGTTCATCGTAATTAAAGCCGACATCTTGTCACATGGATCAGTTGTATTTGGCCTATTGAGATGTATGTCTTCAGCTTATTATCCTAGTTGCTTGACTTACAAGTGGTGGGTCACGAGTTCTCCTATCACATGTAAAATGATACTCCAGGACTGGTGTGCTCCAACCACTCCGAGTTTGATGATAAGGAGTGAAGTGTTGGAATGTGTCGACCAATTCATTTACTTGACGAGTTGCACCAGCTTAAACGGGTTGGTGTCTGATGAAATGTCAGCTCGTATACGGAAGGCTCGTTTGACCTTTGCTAGCATGTGTGGGTTTCGCAGAATCATCATATGATCAATGTTGAAGTCAGGCGAATGGTACTGGGAAAGATGGGCTAGTCGATTGATAAGTTTGTAAGTCTTCAACAACTGAAATGTAGTGGACGTGTGTTGTGCATGCCGTGTCACCGCCTACCTCAATGTGCCATTGTAGAAGAAGTTAGATTAGGTTGGAAGAGGGTTCAGGGTGGCCAGACTACGATATTGCGTCAGTCGTTGAAGTCCCTGACTGTTGGTTTGAGTTGTGTTGTGAGATGTAGAATACCTGGTTGAGGTCCCTGAGAGGATAGGAATCATCGCTTGGGAACTCTGGGTGACATTGCTGGAAGTCGGTCACAGTGGCGCAGATGTACTCAATCTCGGATGTTTTCTGAAGCTTTAATATTTGCACCGACCTTTATTTTCAGTTAGTTTGTTCTCTTACACAACTGTGTGTGTTTTGACCTGTCTTTTTTGCACCCACTTAGTTTTTGTTCCCTACTGTGAAGTGTGACGATTTGAAGGGAAGCACTTGTGTGCGAGGGTCTACGTTGCTTATGTCTGTGTCTCTTTCTTAGTCACTAGTTCAAATCTCTCTATCTTTATTGTGGACAACTTGGCGATACTATTATTCCTGATTCTGACAGCCTGGTAAAGAAAGCTGTATAATGCACCTGTTAGCTAAGAAGATATATCTAAGTTGCTTATATGTGTTTCTGTTTCTTATTCTTACATCTTGGTGCCTTCTCTCTTGACGTGTTGACATAAGATACATAAACCATTATGCAAGAATTCCAGTTCTAATGTTAACACTGACGTGGCTTGATTAATGTGGTATGTAAGATTGAAATACGTGTGTAAGAAAAATGGTCCAAGTCGCAAGAATGACTGGCTAGTATAAGTTTGATATGTCAGAAAAGCACAAAATGAACAGGTTAACAGCGGCAATGAGACTATCTGATAATATCAGGATGTTAATCTCACGAATCCTAATTGTTGACCTGTAGTAACAATGAGTTGAAACTTCAACCTTCAACGAAAAGAAAAAATGTTTCTCAAGATAACACTCTGAAATCATGCACACAGAATATTGATGAGAAAACTATCAATATCTCGGATTATTGTCCTTTATTATAAAATAAAACCCCAGGTCCAATACCACTTTAGGTAGGACAGGACAAGCTACGACAAAGTACGAGGTGCATGGAAGTAAGGAATTGCATGTTGATAACTACATAGCTGAAAGCCACCATCATACGCATTTATAACATTAGTGGTGGCAAGTAACCATTTTGAACAGAATAAATATTTAGGCTAAACTGTAATTGCATTACTGAACATCAACTTACTGAAAAGCGATACATATATACGACTTTGTGGTAAATATAAGCTGTTTTGGATAGTCTGGTCCGCATAAGCCACGTTCTCCTCCAGCTTCAGGCTATGTATGATTCAAAAGCAAAGAATGATGAAGGAATGAGATTACTCTTGGAAACTACAGAGAACTAACAATCTTGAGAGCGAATGCACAAAACAACTTTGTCCCACTAATCCAGTTACAATAAATAAAAATAGGACTTTCTGGGTAAACATTTAAGTATTCAAGAAAGTAAATCGTCAATTATCATTAACTGAAAAAAATTTCCTAAATTACCATGGCTTTCGATTTCGCTGTGTTGGAATCAAATACATACAGATAGTTCTCCACACAGCTTGGAGTTTTAGATGGAATATAAAATTCTTCAATTTTCATCATGATCTTGGCATTTTCGATGGGTGTGTGAACAACAAGTTCACATGAAAAGTTGCGCGGATAATGGGTCATATTGTGTGACAGCAAAACCATACTACCTTCCAGATTGTCAACTTGCAAATAATTCGTAACAGGGTGATGCAGTAAAAAGTCCTGATTGGGAAGAACTCGACAGTCACGGGATAGGACATCTAGAGTAATAAATTAAATATGACATTTAGTGGGACACAAAGTGCGAAAAACATATCAGAAGTGTGGAGAACAACGTCAATAAGTTAAACCTTTAAAAAACAAGTGCTTTCTAAAGAGGCTACAGAAACAAATTTGCAAGCGACAACAACTGAAACGTGTTACCTAAACATTTCGTTGACATTCCCATTGTCGAATATGTTCAAGAGTGATGAAAATCGTGTGCATACCATAAGGGAAAAAGGCTCACATAAGTAGGTAAGGGAATTCGAAATATAAAATTACGAGCCACCATTGACTTAGGCAGCTGACGGCGCGTAACATTTACAGGAAATACTTATGTCTATAGTATTGCAAAGTAACAGCAACTGTGAAATACGAATTTGTCTATTCCTAAACGTAAATACTGCAGCAAAATACATGTGCAGATCTATTCTTTTTACCCATTCAGGTACACTGTAGAACCAGCTTCTACGGTGTGACCAGTCGAGAAGTACTAACCACCCGCATGCTTCCAGTAATGCATAAATCCCAATCAGTCATAACCTACATCTGTGCCTCTTTCAACTTCCTCTACCTCCCCCTGCGACCTTTGTTAACGATCGAAACCAGTGCACCACTTTCTGATCCCCCAAATCCCTCTTCCGATTTCAAATTGAAGATCTCAACTTCCCAACCTTGTTCGAAATTGGACATTAGGTATCTCTCGCCATCATATCTGGATAACCTACCAAGAGTCAAGTTTACTGCACCGCAGTTTGCTCTACTGTACTGTATGGCTGTGAAACATGGCCATTTTAGATAGAGAAAATGAGGCGGCTTCAGGTATTTGACCACCGTTGCCTTCATGTCATCAGTTCAGTCGTGGTATCACCACGTGAGTAACAAAGTCAGGCGTATAGTTTTAGGGAGGAGAGGAAATTCAGCTGATGAGGTTGTGAACCCTCATCGGTTCAGGTAACTTGAACATGTCTTACGCATGTCTAATCCTACTCTGCCTAATCTCAAGATGTTGGCTGAGGCAGATGCAACCTAGGAAGAAGTAATAGACAGCCACTCCAAAATATGGCATCATTGCACGAAGTCTCCGACGGTTGGTGTGAGCCATGTAGGCTAATTTATACTTACCAGTTTGTGTCTACATGATGCCAGAAACCAGTGGTTGGAGACTCTGGGCGTGATATGGTTGGTTCAAAATCGATGTCAGTGACATAGACGTATCCACACATTATCCTCTCCTTAATCGTCATACTGAATTTTATTATTGTCTCAATTTTCCTTGCTCTCCTCACGACTTTTTACCACTTTGACTACTTTCTTCATTGTTTCTTTATCTTTCGTCTGAGTCCATTCTCACTTGCACAGAAACTGAGTGTGGTGATTTGCATGATATCACCTTGCATATGTGGTGAATTTGCGAAGCCCACTTTAAGCGTTTCCTGAGATTGAATGGTTGACTCTCATGGACTCCCTAGTTTGAGTACAACATTAATTTCTCCATCGAAGAGTGCACTTCACAACTGGAAATCAGCCAAATGTCATCTGTGTGCTGTCTAACTGAATCGGTCTGTAGGAAGTGGAATAGGTCGTGAGAATTGTCGATGCCTAATTATAATTCTATTGTCCGCATACGCATCCGCCGACTGTATTTCGGGTAATGCACAGGATGATTACCAAAAACTCAGTTTTGCCACATATAGCAATACGTTCAGATATAGTTGTAATAACGGGCAACTTCAACGCCTTAGTAAGAAAGCTAAGTCCATTAGAAAGGCATCTTGAAAGTATCTAAGTATCTATCTGTTGCCAACGAACTGTCATTTTGTTGTGACATTTACTCGTTTCTGGTTAGCATTAGTCTCAAACAAAAAGAGCGATAGTGTCTCACTAGGCATCCTATAGCATTAAACCAACGATCGATACATACCAATCACATCGCAATCAGCCACCAAAAGTACCTGTTTAGACGGTGATCACGCGTTCGTACAGGTAGGTAACAATAGACAATGATTTAGACTTATTAAAGAAACGGGGGCGAAAAGGTTCACGGAGAAGGATGATTCAGCGATTCACTCACAAGGAAGGCGGCTGGAACAGTTCAGCTGGCTTCCAACTACTATTGCGTTGCTCGCTATCTAGTCAAAGCTAGAATGGAACATTATGACTGACCTCCCAATACTTGCAGAAGTCGAGAAAGTGGTGGTAAACTGGAACGAGGAAGGACAGTAGGACCAGACGAACTAGTTCCTGAAGTACACAAGGATGGTGGTAGAGTGCTGTTAATCAAGTTAACTGAAGTACTAACTAGTGTATGGGTGTCAAATATGGTCCCCTCTCTGACTGGTCTAAGTCATTGATTATTCTAGTCTTCAAGAAAGACGAGAAATCCTCTTGTGATAACCACAAAGGAATCAATCAGCCTGAGGAATATAGTATCTAAAATTTCAGGTTCTATAATTCTTTGACGCCTGAGTGAAGCTCTGGAACAGCAAGCCCGAGAAAACCAGGCAGTCTTTAGACCCGGTCGCGGGTGTATTTACCAAATATTCACACTGTACCAGGTTCTGGAACACAGACACGCTTACCAACACCCGACAATAGCTGTATTTTTCTATCTGAAGGCGGCATTCGACTCCGTTGACCGATAAGTCTTACGGTAATGTCTCTCACTGAAAGGTGTACCGAGTAAGTACATCAGCTTATTGAGGGCTCTTTACTCGAATACCTGTTAGCGTCTTAGAGCCTATGGTGAGATGTAGGGTGAGCTGTGTACATCGAGTGGTGTCTGTCAACGATGCCCACTCTCTCCATTCTTATTCAACTTTATCATAGACGTTCTTATGGAGGTCTTCTTCTCGACACCTGACTACACAGAGATTGACCTAATCATAGGAGAATTTTTAGTAGACCTAGAATACCTAGGTAAAGACGCTGACAAGATGGAGTCTCCGGGATACATTGAGTGGCAATTTGAGAATGTTTGAGATGCGTTTTTCACCACCCTAATGCAAATTGTTGTTCCAGGATTGGTCTTCAATGGTGCCTTGGCTAACAATAGAGAGCGTAGTGGTTGAATGTGTTGACTACTTCACCTACCCGGGAAGTAGGATTAGGCCTAGTGGCTCAGTGACCGAGGAAATCTCTTCACGAATGCAAAAGAATCGGCTGGCTTTTGCCAACTTACGCCATCTGTGGAGCCGCCATGATATCTGATTGTCTGCTAAGGGTCGCACATACTGCATAGCAGTCCGCTCTGTCTTACTGTATGGCTGTGAAACATGGCCATTGAAGGTGGAAGACATGAGAAGGCTTTAGGTGTTTGACCACCGTTGTCTTCGTAGCATAGGCCGTATTCCGTGGTGTCACCACGTAAGTAACGCACAAGTCAGGTGTAGAGTTTTGGGAGGAGGTAAGTCAGTTGACACGGTTCTGAATCTTCACCGACTGAGATAGTTGACATAATTGTTATGTAGGCCTAGTCGCCGATTGCCCCGTCACACAATGTTGGCCGAAGTAGGTACAGGCTGGAAAAAGGCCCGAGGCGGCCAGATTAAAACATGGCATCAATGTATGAAGTCTCTGACTATTGGTTTGAGCCACGTGGGGTGATGCAGACTAGGAGGTTGGGGTCTGTGGGACAAGATGAACCAGTGGTTGGAGACTCTAGGCGATATGGTTCAGAACCGATGTCAGTGGCGCAGACGTATACATACATTATCCCGATCACAACGATGCTTTACCGAATCTGACCACTTTCTCATTCTTCGTTTCTCTGTTTTCGTAGTTTATATTTCTTTTGACTGAATTTTTTTTCTTCATCTTCCACTTCACTGCCTTTTTACTTGATGTACTGATATGAGGTGTGGCAACTCGGATGGTAACGCAGTAATGCGTGGTCCTATGTTGGTAGATGATGATGATGTTATATACGACTGTTAGAAGTAGGAAAGAGAGAAAATGTAGTGAGACATTAATGGAATAACTACGTTCATCGTTTCGCCGGTGAGGGAGACCAATAAATCACATCATAGACCAAAACTGAATGAGGTTTTAATCATTCTATTTTACTCCGTATTAAGACAAGCTAATTGCAAGTAATCATTATATTATACTAGTCAAAGAGATTGACTACCGGTTAGACTGCACAGTTTTACTGAGGTTAGCAAGATAGTAGAAACTGATGATTGCTGACTTGTGACGTAGTAGCGATGCAAATGGATTCACTTTTCACAAAAAAATTAACGACCTACATATTCCAAATCAGCATTTTACGTAGTATATCTTAACTGCTGACTTTTACTCGGTTTTGCGTAAAGTGAAGTGACTGCAATCAATACACTATTATGATGAAACTTTTATCATAACATTATGATTGAAGGCCGAAAGGAAACCGATATCTCAAAACGATTTTAGCCACTGGCCTATATGTTAATGGACCAGACAGTCGATAGTACAGAACATTTTACACAGGAGCAAACTTCCCAACAGCACACAATGCGGGATCGTACAGTAAAAGAATGATATAGAAGCACATAGAAATACATAAGAAAATGTAAAAGATGAGTAAAAACATTCAAAATTTTGGTGATGGTGAGCATATTTGCAACACTGTAATCGACTCTCAGCAATATCAAAAGCCTTTAAACAACCATTTCTAACAAAGTAAACCCAAATCAGGTTAACAATCAACGACCTTATTGATCGTAGTACCTTGATAAAGCCACCTAAGGCATTTTCTCAACCTAATCCCAATATCGTGAGTTCAGGTAGATGGTGGATGGGGATCAGCAACGTCTGTTTACAATAAGTTGACGAAAGTTAACTTCTTTGACTGAATTATCTTCCCTGTCTAGTACTGTACACCTAACCTCAACGTTGTTGTTTCCATCAAACATGAGGATGAATACGAATGAAGGTAAGTCTGTAATTTACTCGTAAATTTTGTCCCCAACAGTTGTATCTGACAGCTATATATTACAACACAGCAAACTGCTAAAAAACAGCCGCCTTTTGGATGGCGGTCGAATAACTTAACAAAGCCTAAGACGGCATAAGCAGTCAAATGCCAGACTTCTTGTATTTATCATGAGGTTCCTTTAGCAACGATGCAAACAGCGTTAATGCAACTTCGCAATTAACAGGTGCATTATACAGCTTTCTTTACCAGGCTGTCAGAATCAGGAATAATAGTATCGCCAAGTTGTCCACAATAAAGATAGAGAGATTTGAACTAGTGACTAAGAAAGAGACACAGACATAAGCAACGTAGACCCTCGCACACAAGTGCTTCCCTTCAAATCGTCACACTTCACAGTAGGGAACAAAAACTAAGTGGTGCAAAAAAGACAGGTCAAAACACACACAGTTGTGTAAGAGAACAAACTAACTGAAAATAAAGGTCGGTGCAAATATTAAAGCTTCAGAAAACATCCGAGATTGAGTACATCTGCGCCACTGTGACCGACTTCCAGCAATGTCACCCAGAGTTCCCAAGCGATGATTCCTATCCTCTCAGGGACCTCAACCAGGTATTCTACATCTCACAACACAACTCAAACCAACAGTCAGGGACTTCAACGACTGACGCAATATCGTAGTCTGGCCACCCTGAACCCTCTTCCAACCTAATCTAACTTCTTCTACAATGGCACATTGAGGTAGGCGGTGACACGGCATGCACAACACAC